GTGAAAAGCAAGGAAAACTTAATACCTTTTTATGTAAAAAAAATAACTGGTCGTATTAAATTATTTTGTTCTGTGTAGTCATAATATATTACACGCATTACATTTTTTTTATTCATTTGTTCTATTTTGATGTTATAGGTGTATAAAAACTATTAAGATTTTGAACATTCCGGTATTTTCTAATATTTTAATTAATGGATTATAATATATTCTTTTTTTTTTTTTTTTTTTTTTATTAAGAGAAAAGCCTCGATAACGTGACCATTGGCTTATTTTACATTAAATGATGACTTAAATTAATTGTACAGTTCGGTATCTTTCAAAAATAAAATTATGTTTTGGATGGATTTTTCGTCAGGGCCCAGTGCGTCGTGAAGGTGTTCCGGTATGTTGAATTTTTGTCGTGCCTCTTTTGTGTCTCTGCATTCGGTGATAATATGTTTGATTGTAGTTGTAATTCCGCATGTAAGGCATATTTTTGGTGGCTCCTTTTTCATGAGGTGGCCATGTGTGTGATGCGTATGGCCTATTCTGAGGCGATTAAGTACGACTTCCTCTCTTCTTTTGAGCGACATAGGGTTATTCCATTTTTCGATAGTTCTTTTTATCTCATTTAATTTACTATTCATTTTAAGCCATTCTTTTTGCCAGATATTTTTGATTTGGTTGTATATAATTTTTTTAGTATCTTTGTCGGATTTAATATTCCACACAGTTAGTTGATGTGGGTTATTGGCTTTTTCCTTGGCAAGTAAGTCGGCTCTTTCATTACCAGGTATTCCGCAGTGCCCGGGAATCCATGCGAAGATTAAGTTATCGTTAAATTTATTAGTCAAGTTAATTATTTTATTAGTTATAACATTATTGTTATTGATATTACTAAGACTAGCTAGAGTGCTCATGGAGTCTGTCAAAATTATGTACTTATTATTATGCAGGTTGGCACTTATTATATAGGATAGTGCTTTATATATAGCTAGTGCCTCAGCTGTATATATGCTACAATTATCCGACAACCTTTCCGAAAGTTCGGTTTGTAGAAAAACTGCAGCAACACCCACCCCTTTGTCTGTTTTTGAGGCGTCGGTATATATATGTATGTAGTCTGGTAATGTGTTTATTAATTCATAGAATGCATTTTTGTATGTAAGATTTGTGGTTTCTTTTTTGTTGTAAATTGCTATCGACATGTCAAACGAGTACTTTGTCGTTGTCCATGGAGGTTTTACGAGTATTTCTCTAGTCAATATATTACTTATTTCTAATTTTAGTTCTCCCTCTTTTTCTTTTATTCTTTTGTACATAGGTTGTATTAATTTGTTGTTGTTGTTAAAGGTATTTTCGAATCTGTTATTGAATACTGTGGAATACGTTGGTTTGTTCGGGTCGGTTGCTGTTCTTACTGCGTATTGCAACATCAGTTGATTTCTCCGATTATTAAGTGGTTGTTCTCCTGTAATATTGAGTATGCTGTTTATGGGACTACTTCTAAATGCACGAGATGCCATTCTTAGGCCAGCATTATGGATAACGTCAAGCATTGTCAGTGCTGAGTTTCTCGATGTCATATATAAGGGGGATCCGTAATCCAAAATTGATCTGATCAGTGAATTGTAAATGTTTATTAGGGTTTTAGAGTCTGCTCCCCATTTCGTACCTGAAAGTACTTTGATAATGTTCAGTCTTTTTTTGGCTTTGTCTTTTAGCTTTTTTATGTGTGTGGTCCAGGTAAGTTTTTCATCGAAGGTAAGACCTAATATTTTTAAGTGTCTTGTGTAAGGAATTATTTTGTTGTCCATTTTTAAAGTTGGTTTTTTTTTAATTTTTTTGTGTGAAAATATTATGAACTGGGATTTTTCTGGTGCAAATTTGAACCCTGTATTTTTGCTCCAATCGTTAAGCGAGTTGGTGTATTTCTGTAATTCTTTTCCTAAAGTGTCAATACATTTGTGTCGAAAGAAAATATTGCTGTCATCCGCATATATTGTAATTTTTCCAGGGGTGGGTATAAGTTTAGATAAGTCATTTATTGCGATTATAAATAATTTTACACTTATGGAAGAGCCTTGGGCAATTCCGTTATTCAGGTTATATAAGGATGAATGATGTCCATCAACAGCAACTTCGAATGTTCGGTCAATAAGGAAATTATGTATGAAATATAAAATGTTGCCTTTAACGCCCCAGTCTAGTAAGATTGAAATAATTCGGTATCTCCATGTCATATCGTACGCTTTTTGTATATCGAAGCTTACCAGTCCCATGTATTGTTTGCATGCAATTGTTTCACATATTTCTGTATCAATGTTTACAAGGCAGTCGTAGGTCGATCTGTTTTTCCGAAATCCAAATTGTTCTTTGGCGAGAAGTTTATTTTTTTCTAGAAACCAGTTAAGTCGAACGCTGACTATTTTTTCGAATATTTTACTCATTGTGCATAGCAGCGATATAGGCCTGTATCCTTGTACTGCGAATTTATTTTGGTTAGGTTTATGAATTGGGATAATGGTAGCTTGTTTCCATTTTTTTGGGAACTTGTGTTGTGTCCACATTTTATTAAATATTTTGAGTAATGTAATTTTTCCTATTTCGGGTAAATTTTGTATAAATATGAAGGGGATGTCATCGGGTCCACAACAGTTGCTCTTATGTTCATAAATAATGTTGTCGAGTTCTTTTCTTGTTATTGACAAATTTAGGTTTGGTGTATCAATATGTTCAACAGTGGTTAGTTCCTTAACGTTTATATTTTGTTTTTCGATTTCAGATTTGTACTTTAAGAAATTTGGATCAAAGTTGTTATCGTCGCTTATTTCCTGAAAGTATTCACCTAGTGCGTTTGCTATTTCTAACGGTTCTGTAATAATGGATTTATTATTATTAGTTCTGAGTAATTTGATATCCGTTGATTTTTGCACTCCTTTTATTGATTTTACTTTGTTCCACACTATATTAGGATTTTCAAGGCAGGTAATTGATGACGTAAAAGAGTTCCACGAGTTTGTTTTACAATTTTTTATAATGTATTTAGCTTTAGCTCTTTGTTTTTTAAGTTCAATTAGATCGATTATACTTCTGCTTTTTCTAAATTTATTTAAGGCTTTGTTTTTGATTTTAATTATGTTTTTACATTCTTCCGACCACCATGGTACGGGCTTTTTGGTTCCGCTGTATTTATTTTTTTTAATTATATTCATTCCAGTGTTATGTATTATTTCTGTAAATATATCAACTATTTCGTCTATGCTATTATCATCCATTGGGAGGCATTTTTCAAGTTCAGATTGAATTGTATTTGAAAATAATTCCCAATTAGGTTTTTTTAAGTTCCATTTCTCTTTGGTTTTATATATTAAAGTAGAGTCTCTGTTATGGATTTTTATGATAATAGGCCAGTGGTCACTGTTATATAATTCTTGTTCCACCGTCCAATCCAGATTGGTTGATATATTTGCGGATGAAAAGGATAGGTCTATGGCCGATACTGATCCATTGGCGGTATTAAAGTGCGTAGGGCTTCCGTCGTTAAGTAGTGTGATATAGTTATGGTCAAGCATTTTTTCTATTTTTTTTCCTCTACTATCAATATGCGTGCTTCCCCATAGAGTGTTATGACTGTTAAAATCACCGGTTAGTATATAGGGTCGTGGTAATTGATTAATTATATTTTCTAGATTTTCGATTTCGAAATCATGTTGGTTTGGAAGATATATGTTACAAATAGTTATTTTTTCTTTTATGTGAACAGTTATTGCTGTTACTTCGAAGTTGGAGGTGATTTTAATTTCTTCGGAAGGAAAGGATGAGTTTGCGTAGATTGATGCGCCTCCGCTGGCTCTACTTCTAATGGAGCGATTTTTTGAGTATCCGAGGTAGCCTTTAAGTTCGGGTGTGTGATTTTCGATGAAATTTGTTTCTTGTAGGCAGATTACGAGTGGCGAGTATTTATGAATTAATCTTTTAAGGTCATCAATTTTTTTATGGAATCCGTTGATATTCCACTGTAGTATATTATGATTCGTATTTATATTATTATGCATGCTAAGTATTGTATTATATGTGGGTATGGAGTACAGGTAATTTACGTATGTGTTTCGGTATATATTTTGTATGTGAGACATTGTTTTACGTTGTGAAATAATTAATTACCTAATTAATTGG